CACTTCCTTTGACACATTTGATTTATTTGTGTGTCGCTGACCCAACAGCAATGATTTATCAAGCTTAAAGCATGACAAGCATCAAATTATATTGACTGTTAAGAAATATATTTCAAACAAATAAATTGGCATTGATTATTTGAAAAAAAGTTGATTAGGTAGAATGCAATGTGATATGAGTGAAGAGAATGACAATGAAAGTTGCCCACAAATATGTATAGTGCCACAATTACCCAATTTTTATAAGAAATTCGTTTACTTGATATTATTTAAATAAGGATACCTCTCAGGTTGGTTGGTATCAAAAATTAATTATGTAATCGATGACATAATGGACAGATGATCAATACACCCTGTACTCGATACAGCAGAGAGGATGTGACGTTGCAATTATAGTTTAATGATATATATATGCCACTATGAGATGATTGCAAATTACATATTCCACTCTTTTGTATGACAATGCTGAGCTAGAACGAAAAAGAAAAAGACGAACAAGTATCATTTACATAACATACATATTTATTATTTATGATTTTATATCATAATATAATATTATCTGTCTAAACACAACGCTAACATATATTTCTGTATGTTCCAATTGTAATTGTAAACTTCCTTATCAGTGACTTAATAATTACAAAAATGGTCTCAGTAACATACTTCAAAAAATATTCTCTTCATTATCATGAAGTCGAACAGCGTTGCCTGTGCTTTTACCACGAAGTGTTTATCACTTTTTGACATTACGTTGTTGATCGACTAATATATGTATATGACGTTGACAATGCATATAATTTCACATAATTTTCGACCATGTTTGGTGTATCAGAATATTTGAAAAAAAATCTTTAAATTGACCTCAAACAATATTATATAAGGAAAGCAGACGAGTGTAGAATGTATAATACATTGGAATGTATTTGATATGGATGTCATCAACATTTTCATTTCCCTTAAAATTTGTCTGTGTATATAAAAATGCATTTTTTAAATTAATGTATTTAACAAAAACATACATTGGCCTAATAGGATATAAATCATGAATTGTTCTTAAAAATGTTTGAATTATAGATTTGACTTGCGTGAACTATTGCAAACAAATTTTGTAACTTCTATTACAAAGCGCAATGGATTTAAAAAAACATGAAGTATACTACTTCAAGAAAGTATTTAATACTATTACCGGGCTCGTCTGTGCATTAATCTCATTCAATTCTTAAAAATACGTGCACACTCTTTCTTCAAAATTGCTCCAGTAAATTTCAAAGAAAATCCAAAGCCTGTAATTCTTTCAGTTTTCGCCTGTGACAACACTTAACAGCTAAATAGTAAATGTTGGTTAATGAAATTAATTGGTTAAAATCAGTAGTAACGTTTCCCAATGATTATCCTCGTGTTTTTCAAGTTAAAAGGCAAGTGTAACGATATCATTCGTATTAACAATATTACAGTTTCCATTATTTCAACTAGATTGTCCTTCATTGTCATTAAAAACAAATATTTTCCTTATGAAAATACAAATATAGGCTTTCAGTTCGAACAACGAAAACACATTAATCGTTACGATCACTTACAAGGTAAAAATACTATCCCGCGAGAAAACAAAAATTTTCAGATAGGTATTACAGGGCCTATTCCAATTAAAAGCCCACGAAGACAAAAAGTTAAAAAAAAATACAGAGGAACCAGCGGAATCCTGCGAAGAATAAATTGGATGTTAGCCATATGAAGGCCATGAAACACATGTATTTCCAGAATGTCTAACGAGAATATCAAAGACAGTGAAACTTACGCAGAACGAAAAAGAAAAGAAAAAAACACTGTAACATAGAAGACACGCATTCAGAGTGAATGGGGAAAACGTATAACAACGATACATATGAACAGTTTTTTTTTCCCTTATATGTATATTATCGCAGACTTGCGTTCCCATGACAATGCAAAAAGGCATTATCTCCTTTTTTTTTTACACATTTCCCCCCTACTCACTGGTCATAGAAAAATATTGAGTTTGGTCCCAACTTACGGAATTATAAATTCAGTCATTACTTGCTTCCTTAAATGCAATTGTATATTACTCAGGCACTTGCCTTGGAAGACCTCATAAAAGGGGATAACACAAAACTCATCTCTCCTGCATCTCCTGTCAGCCCATTGTTCGACCATTCAATTCCACACAACAAGTAACAAGGCTGTAAAGGCCTTCATGAATGTTGACTGTGATTTCTCTGTGATAACGGTAACATTGGAAAATTCGTCAAAAAGAGAAGAAGGCCGAGTAGCTGTTTTTCAATGACTCGAGTGCGTTTCCCATTTTCCTCGTTCGTTCCGAATTCTCGTATCTACCAGCTGGCGTAAGATTCTAACCGATAATCTTGATTTCTAGATGGTAGATGATTATAGCGTCGATTCCACCATTTCGTTCTTGTGTCTTCACTTAAATCTGAGCTGGTTCCACGTAATTCGCTGGTAACATTCCTTGGCATCCAGTACGTTGCACCAGCCCGGTCATCCAGCCTTCGTCGATGGCTGTACAATTGATGATGAGGTCCCCGTCGCAAAAGCTAACCTCGTCGTGATCCTGAGCTTCGTAGTCGTACATCGCCCGATACACGCGCTGTAGTGAAAGATAATTTGGTTTGGGTTTAATTCAAACGAAGATATATTTTTATTGCAACTTTCCAAAAAATCATTATTTCAATGATATACCGCGTCGAAGGCTCCAAAATCAAATGACACCTAATCGGTTGTTTTTACTAAATACTATTGAACATCGTTATCCTCGTGACATGACAATGAAGAAATGATATCGCGAAGTCTGGAGGACAAGTCGTACAACAACAAAAAAAGATCTGCAATCACGCAAAATACATTGAGAAATATTCAACACATATTAAGTGCCCAACAGTCATCACAATATCTGACAATGTGCCAATGACAAAGTCTACAATAAATTATACAAAAGAAGAAACGTACCCCTGTGTTCGCTGGCGGCGGTGGTGGCGGCGGTTGATGTTGAGGAACGTGATTATTATTCGTGGCAGGTGTCAATGATCCATAATACTCATTGACAGGGTCGATGTCAGCGACAGAGCCGATTTTCCGCGTAGGAGGATTCGTCACTAAAAAAAAAAAAAAAAAAACATGAAAACTCCAAAATAATTCACAATAATTTGTACCTCTCCCTTTCGAGTACCTAAGATACGAAAACTCAAGTGAATCAAAGAAACCGAACAAAATGAACGTAAACGCATTGCACGACAATAAAATCAGCAAAACAATCCAATACAAGATACAAAAGCAAAAAACGATTACTGGTTCATGAAAAAAGCTTAAAATTCACATGATGACTAAATCTTTCATCTAAATTCCTCTACGAGTAATTATCCAATAGTCCAACTGACCTCTAGGCATCGGCTAAAACATATTCCCCCCCCAAAGGGTCGTTACAACGTGCACAATTTTTTAACGACCTACAAAACCGCAATGAACCTACCTGCTCCCTTATCACTGGTATAAATGACAGTGGTGGCTGCCTGTCTGGCAGAATAAGGACTTGGCCTCGCTTCGTTAAGCGGATCATAATCTGCAATCCTTCCTGGTGCCCTCTGTACTGGTGGTACTGGTGAATTTGCCGTTCGCGCCGGTGGTGGATTCGCATTGATGCCAAGCGTCGGTGTGACAGTACCGTCGGTGTACTCTACACATTCTACATAATAGAGGATAGCAACTGGCTGTCATCGAGGTACAGGACAGAATAAGAATAACGACGATAAGTCATTAGACACTGGTATCCGTCCAGTGTCCCATGCAGTAATAAAACTCATGAAATTTTCATAGATACTTTTACGTGATGGCTTTAAACGCAAATACGAAAATATAATGACAGCGATAACACGCAATTTACGTTTCGCTGAAAGTAACACTGGCGAACGTTGGGTTTTAAAGAATCGTTTTTCAATCCCACATCAGAAGCGATATGCGTACATTAGCGGTGTACAGGTCGTTTCACGTGACAAAGAAAATTGCAAGCTCGTTTTTCGCGACACAAACGAAAGCATTATCGCGTGAGATATGCGTAATAAGGATCCAACGATTTATACAAGAAATCGTTTATATAATTACCGATTTGTTTCCCATTTTCACCGGTCATCGTTCTCTTCTGCTCCATTATGGCCTTCTTCTGTAATTCCCCGTGATAAACGACGTTCGAGATGATCTTGCTGTTCTGCTTTATTCTAAGTGTCTCCGGATCGTCGGCTACCTGGGTAAATTTGCCTTTCGCCTTTTCAAATTCCGCATGATACTTCACGTTACTCTGTATCTTCGTGTTCTCGGCAATGCGTTTGAGTTCCGGCGTCTCGGCCATTGTCGTAGCTTTTGCTTTAGGTATGTGCCTGAAGAGAATGAACAAAAAATTATTGAATTTTTTTAAAGTCAATCAACACACAACCACGAGTTAAATAAATATCACGTAAGTGAATATTCAAAAAAAAATCTACAGAAAAGTCGAGAACGGAAGGCCATACGACGAAAGTATGTATTAACGAATAGTCGGTACTAACGTGCTCTACCTTACCGATCGGGTGGATTTAATAAAATCAAAGTAACGATTTCATACCCCGGCAATGATCATATACGTATATACGTACTATACGCATATCGTCATCGGCATTGGCATTAAAAGTAGGTAACCGGTGTGCGGTATCTCGACTCGAATAATACGGTAAGGTAAGAACTTAACAACATACGCGTCGAGTTGTAATCGAGATATGTGTGTCATGAGTTCCTTTTCCATATACGGCCCTGGTCTCACCCAGGCATTGTGTCACGGATTATGTAAGAGATCGAGCGCCGCCGTATACTGAAATACTGTGTCAATTATATGCCGTAACGGCGAGAGTACAGATGTCTACTGATTAAAAAGAAGAAAAAAAAAAAAAGACAACAAGAATAGGTGCGCTCGCTGTTACGTCTAGACATCTAGATTAGGCCGAGCCCTTCCTAACCATCGAAGCATCCCACGATGCACGTGACGTGCCCGATTAAATAATCGGACGATGCGAGAGGCAGATGACAAGGAAATGGACCAGAATGAGACAATGGAGAAGTGATGGGTGTAAAAAAAAATGTTTACAGAAGTCCGTTTCTCTGTGCTAATAAATACGATCGTTGTGAGATAATGGGGAGAAAAAAATCCTCAACGAACAGCATCATGGACCAGAGACTGAAAGGGGTGCCAGTATTTGTTAAATGAAATCCAAAGCCTTTAACTAATCCAATGCCAGAATAAACGCAGGTTAATTTGCATTGTACTCAGAGGTGGCCCAGAGCTGTATTGCCTCATGGATTTAAATGATCGGATCCAGAGTCCTTAACGGTCCCAGAAAGTTGGGACTTACCGTCACTATCATTGGCTGGAACGTGGGTGAAGCCCGAAGTAGAGATTAGCTTTATGTAGCCAAACGATTACGTACACGTGACTTCGGATCAGCCAATAGATCCATATAGATCTATGACGATCTATCGGTATTTCAAACGCACCCGGATTTCGAACCCTGAATGATAATACCGCATAAAAGTAATAACGATAATAACGAATAATCTTGTAATGATTTCTAGGAGTAAAATGCATATGCGCAAAATGCATATGGCTTCGGGTTGGCATGCCGTCGTCACGATTGACGTTTCTAAGTAGAGAAACCCATGAAAGTCAGGCTCGAAATGAGCATATCCAATAATGATCTGGCGGCTTTGGCTTGAGCCGAAGGATCGTACGATCTCTTGAAATAAAAAGAGAAAAGAAAGATCGAGCGTAATAGCACGAAGCAACACTTATAGCGAACCGAGTACGAATACCGGTCAGAGAAATGCATTCGTCACCGGGACACGATCCTGACTGTAGTTCTCAGATGCGTTGCAGCGTCGGGATAACTTATGAAAGGTGTCGCATCGGTATAACAATCACGCTAAAAAAAGGATATGACTAAAGATGTAAGTAAAATAAAAGGGGAAAAAAAAACAGACTAACTGGAGAATGTATTATTTCTGGGACAAGGTCGATAAGCCGTAAACACGTCGATGACGTCACGGCGAAACGAGCACCCCTTGTATTGGCGCTGCAACGAAATTATTTAAATGCACCGACCAGACAGTACCCCGACTGTTGTAACATTGGCATCTTTTCGAATTTCAACAGAACGGAAGAGGGATCGGTGTATACTCACGAGGTTTGACCTATTTCCGGTTAAACTACGAGAACTACAAATATCCCGATTTGAATAGATATGCGCATCCGTCGCTCGTGACTAAGGCGCAGAGGTTTTGTGGTGGGTAGTAATTCGTAATTAAATTTCCGGACGTTGCAACGGAAGACTAATGCCAGCGGTGAGTGTACTAGATACAGTTTGGTTAGTAGTCAAGCTATAGGTAGCGTGAGCCCAGGCCCGGGATTTGAATTTCGAAATACATTCGGAAGGATATCTTCCTCGTACGAAATAGCGACGAAGAGTCGCAGGGTAGACCCGGTGGGTTTATTGGATGAGATGATTGGCCACAGCAAGATTGTGGTTTATAACTGTTACCCAAATAGGCGTTGACGTTAACCGCGAGACTGAGCGGTAGGACCGATGAGCTTAAAAGGGACATTTTGCTCCCTTGTATTTATAGTGAAAATCCGCCGGCCAGCGGGGTATGGAATCAGTGGGTGGAATCGTGACGTGGCAAAGGTTACGCGTGCTGTACTTTGGCATTTGCTAGGAGGAGGATTTCAAGGTCTGGATGAGTCAGGATTAGTTAAGGGATGTGAATTTTTCATTAGCCTGGCTATAGGTCGTGATTGCGAAATGCTCGCTGTTGCTTTGGGGAAGCGTGCTTCGCAATGTGGCGGATGGGATTATAGCGCGTTATCAAGAAACGTCAAATCGATTAATTTATAATTATATTTTCAATATTTGATTGTCTGATTATTTCAAGGAATTGATTGAGATAATAAAATCAATAAAAGTGCAGTGAGATTTGACTTAATGACGTTTCTAGTGTCGCCGTAAAGCGGGAAATTCAAAACTGCGAAGAACAAAGAAAGGATAAAAGTGAAGTTAGTCACAAGAGTCATAGTACAACCTGCTATATCATTCGCTGGTTTCATTATGACTAGACCTTCAGGGAAAGAAGTTCCGAGTATGTTTTTTTAATTCAAACGTAGACGACGTCAATGTTCCTAGCCGATGCGCATGGACAGATGTCGCGCGCCTCGCGAACCGTTTTCTCCCGGATTTCCACATTAATTTCACCGTTTAATCGATCAGTTGCCAAGCGCTCGCTAGTTATCAGAAATACAAGTAAATTAGCTGCAATCGTCATTGGCATCGATCGTAGTAAAATTTTAAAAATTCAAATTAATTTAAATAATTCTCTATATCCTCGAAGTAACGGTTTTCCAAGCGAATTTTTTTATTGACCGTCTTCGTTACGTACCTCGAATACAGTAAAGATCGTCATGGCATAACCTAAAAAATCGCAAAAGCTCAAATTGGCCAAGAAAACGAGCTGAAAAAAAAAAGAAAAAAAAAATGTGCACACTAAGCGAAAACTTTTAATATTTGCAAATAAATGCACACACGTGTTACAAATAGATATCAACGTATAATAAAGATCGCACGATGCCACGCGCGACTGATCGAATTACGCATAGCTCAACTTGAATATCACTCAATGGCTGACGCGCTTGACTTCCTGTTGGTAATTTCTTGAAAGCCAATACACCGCAGTTAGTTGGTCAAAGACTATGAGATGGTTGCCAACCGAGATAAAAAAAAATCTCAGAAAACAAAAACGCCCTAAAAACACCCATGAACTACAACAAACCGCCGCTATAAATTTCAGGAGGCACAATTAAACCCAAAAAGAATAACGGAAGTGACACGTCATCGGCAATCATCAGAACGTCATGCCTCGGCTACTAATTACAGTAGCGTCGTTACGAGAGGCAATAAACTCAGACGCTTGTAAACTCGCGGAACGTCGCGTGTCGCGCAAGTTTGAGCCTGTCGACGAGCATCGAGCACACGTTGGACTCTCCGTCTTCATTTCCAATCGGCTTCCTCCCCACAGACTAGCTGTGGCAGCAGACGGCGGTACGTGTAAGTACAAGAAATCGTAGAGAGGACAAAAAAGCAAATAGAAAAACAATACAACGGTTTATAGTTATATTTAGCACAAGGAAATTAACACGGTATTTCTCGATACTCGTTATGGAATTTGTAATTCCCTGCACTTCTCACTCACTCCCTCTCTTCTCCCTCTCGCGCCCGCCGCCTCACAATAACACAACTTTGTCTCTTTCTTATCCACGCGGCCCGCAATATTGTTTCTCGCAATTTCCTCGAAGGACAACCGTCTGCCGAAGCACTAAGCAGGTATACGCGGGCAAGGTCGACTTGCAGCCAACTTCAATACGGTAAATCGTCAACGGTACGGTATTGTGCTCCTAAATATTAATACCACCAGACAACGAAAAAAGGAAAAAAAAAATAAGGTCGACGAATAATAAAAACGACCTACGTCACAAAGTGAAAGCATCGGAAAATCCAGTTATAAGGTAAATCCTGTTACACATTTCAGTGGAATAAAAAAGAAATCCAAAAGGTAAAAAAAAATTTTATCGTTCAATTCCCGACTGTGACAAAAGCGATTTTATTGTTAAAATTAAAAAATGGCGACACTCGTTTCCAAGTGATACGGCGGTTCCTCTTGCGGAGGACGCAGCAGAAGGAAGTGAACGAATGAGTCACTGCTGACTAGCAGTGAGTCCAATATGGGGGGCGTTGGTAACGCAGGGACGTTAGGCGTCTCTTGAACCATTAAAATTTCGTCGCGAGAGACAGAATGGGAGAGACGCGAGTAGGAACAGCTATGTAATGGATTAGGCTTGTGTATTACAGTGAAAGAAAAAGAGAGACGTACGTCGGATACATAACGAATGAACAGGACAGTAGATTCCAGAAGGGAAAACAAAGTTGAATGGCTGAATGAGTCCCACACGTGTTCGGATGGTGTGCCTTGTCGCTGAATTAGTACATACCGAGTTTACACGTGTGTATTACTACTGTCATACTTGTATAATCGTGCTGTACCATACAAGTTTTAGGTCATTTATATGCAATATATCAAGAAATTTAGCAGTTCAACATAAGAAAAAGCTATTTGTAACGAGCGCACGATTTATGTCCGATAACAGTAATAATGATAATAAATAATGACTGCGATTATCGTACACGTAATATCCATGTGAAATTTTCATGAACGGAATTCAGTGTACAATTTTTACATTGCACAAGTCCTTCCCAAGTAAGGAAACGTCGTTTCGCATTTCGCACTAAGGATTTAACGATACGACGTATAATCCTAACGAACCTTATCCTAAATGCGAATAAGTAAGGATTTCTTGTGCTCTTAATGCACGGCATTGCGGAAGACACAAAAGCACGTGCGGATACACCATACGCGTTAGAACGACGTAACGGCACATTCCAGCCAATACGTTCTGAGCATGCGAAATAAAAAAATGTTGTAATTTTTTTTCGAATTGTCAGGAGCTCATCACAGGACAGTGCTAGAAGACTTTAAGCACCGTCCCCTCGGCGCTCCGTGCGCGTGTCTCGCGATACACGAGAGCGACGCATTAATATACGTCCAGGGCACAGAAATTAACCGTGACGTAAAGGTTAATCTCACGGTGCAACCGGACGACGTTAATTCCCTGCATGCACGTTCAAGATATCCTAAACCATTCGGGGATTCGTGTTAAAGAAAAGAAAAAAAAAAGAGTGAAAATTGTTTAAAAAAAAAAAAGACAAGTCACTCCGTTAATTTTCCAACCACAATTTGAGACTACGGACTACGTTTGACCTCGACGAAATTCTCAGCATACCCCGTGTAAGTACGCCAACCATTGATAAGGATTTTTTTTTTTAAATCGAGGTAAAACACTCACAGTTCAAAACGCGTTGAACGTATGCAGATACGAGTAACTCGTGACGTATTGATTCCTGATTTTTCTTTGACTGTGTCAACATCTCGTAGGATGACACAGCTGCGGATAACTGGGACACGTATCTCAACAGGCGACAAGAACAAGGTTCAGTAAGAAAATCAAAGTTTTGGAGCTACAAGGTGGCAGGTTGAACTGATAAATTTAAGGAGCTCGAATGTACTTGAAACCAATAGGAATGGACGCTCGGCTGATTAGCCGTTTCTTGCGTCAAGAACGAAACGTAATATCCAAGTTAGACTTACGCCTCGCAGTATGGCTGTTTGTTGAAACCTTTGTAGGTCCGCATGTTCAACGTCATTCCGCATCCTTGACACTTGAAGCACTGCTTGTGCCATGTCTGTAACAATAAAAGAAGAAAAGAGATATAAAACGGAAGTTCACGAAAAGAAATAAAACAATATAAAATAACTTAGCATTGATTAGCGATATTTTTTTAATCAAAAAGTCTGGATATATCAGTTGCAAGCATAAATATGCCTATCCGATAATAACCTGATAAGATAGCTGCTCAGTTCAATAGGTAAAGATATTATATACGTACATACATGCATTCGCAAAGGTGTATTTGTCGTGCGCGACACTTTATTTGGTACATAAAAGTAAATATTGAATAAAAGACTAGGTCATAAAAATCTTGATAGATAATAAATAACATAACGCGTAACGTATTTTTGTATATTTTCATACTATTCAAGGTCATCGTTATCACAATGTGATTTTGACGATACCGTGCTTCGTTGCTTTTATTGCTACTGACTGCCTAAATATACGAATACTGCAGCTTATGGAAAACGTAATAAAGCCAGTGTTATGCCCATACGCCACATTGCGAAGCACGCTTCCCCAAAGCAGCAGCGAGCATTTCGCAATCACGACCTATAGCCAGGCTAATGAAAAATTCACATCCCTTAACTAATCCTGACTCATCCAGACCTTGAAATCCTCCTCCTAGCAAATGCCAAAGTACAGCACGCGTAACCTTTGCCACGTCACGATTCCACCCACTGATTCCATACCCCGCTGGCCGGCGGATTTTCACTATAAATACAAGGGAGCAAAATGTCCCTTTTAAGCTCATCGGTCCTACCGCTCAGTCTCGCGGTTAACGTCAACGCCTATTTGGGTAACAGTTATAAACCACAATCTTGCTGTGGCCAATCATTTCATCCAATAAACCCACAGGGTCTACCCTGCGACTCTTCGTCGCTATTTCTTACGAGGAAGATATCCTTTCGAATGTATTTCGTAATTCAAATCCCGGTTCACGCTACGTATAGTTTGACTGCTAAACAAAACCATAACAGGTAGAATGACGTTACAAAGAATATTTGAAAGTATGAAGAGCGAGAGAAATGGATTTCAGGACCGAATGAGAGAGAGAGAGAGAGAGAGAGAGAGAGAGAGAGAGAGAGAGAGAGAGAGAGAGAAACACGTGCGAAAATGAGTATCTCTCTGTTCCCTTAACTATTAGGCAAAATTACGACATTCGATTCTCACAGACAGCTGCGTGGACACTGTGCATGCCCCCCCTCCTTCCGCATTCCCATTGTAACCATAGCAATCCATTTCCCACGAATTTCCACGAGTTACGTATTAAAAAAAAATACTTTTTCAATTTCTTCATCATTTATTTCGTCCTTTCCCAACTTTCAATTATAACGTATAAATTGAGTGTACGCTTGATAAAGGGTTTTAATGAATTGGCGCGGTCGGAATAAATGCTCGAATGTGTTGCCAACGTCAAAAGTTTTATCTAGACGATTTCAAGGTACAGCATATTACACATATATGGGATACGATTGATAAAAAAGACTTACGAGAGGTTATATAATAATGCCCAATGCTCGTGTCGCTTTTTAATAAGTAAATAAAGAAATATAATAAGCAAATTTTTATCAGGGATATCCCTAATGATTTGAATTAATTCTGATAGATAAATCGATATCTCCATACTTGGACAAGTGTTACGTACTCCAGGAGCAATAGAGGTATTTATAGATAATGGAATGCGCCGTGGCAGTGACTTTCTACTGTTTTTCGGCTGCCGCACTTACCGTACAAAAATACAATCCGAAAACAGAAACTCCGCTCGACACCTCCCTCTGTCCTCGAACTTTCCATCGAGGAGGAATGCGCTTGAGTAAAAAAAATATCCGTACGAAGAAAAAGAAAGGGGACAAAAAAAGTATGCTGTACTTTCAACAATTACACCGTCCAATCCTTCAGCCAGTGGCCTATTAAGTCACGTATCTATCCTGCACACCTAAGTCTGGCACGTTGAACGCGCTGAATTAAGGTTAGAGTCGCGTTCTAATCTAATCGCCATGAAGTTGGCATTGTCATTGAGAGTGAAAGTTCGCACTGGCAACAGGGACAAAACCCGATGTACATTGAGCGAGGAAACGATAAGGTATTGTCGTGGTAATAAGAGTGAAAAAGAATTAAAGAAATGCAAAAATAAATTAATTCACAGAGGGAGGGATATATATAGAGAGAGAGAATCTATGGAAGTAGAAAGAGGTCAAATATTAGGAATTTAATGATCCGTGGGAGGAATTACTTAAATTTCAATAAGTATAACTGTCATTATGGTCGAAAGTTATTATTATTCGGTATTTATCGAAAACCCATGGCATAGTTAATTTCTCTATGTATCAAAATACCTATAGGATACGTAGGACGTAAAAAGTGTCACGTATAATTTAACGATAAACTATGATATTCGGCAGGTTAAAAATTTCTTTCAGTCTGCTCTCCCCTGTGATACTTGCGGAGCACACTTAATGGGCAGGTACGGCTGACATCAATTAGCCGCATGGTAAATTATCCCTAGTGAAATAAGTATGCAAAATATGAGTCACGTGCGTACCGAGTATATGTGGAATTAGAGAAAAAAAAGGATCGGCGTGTGAAGCGTCGCGATGCGTCATTGATTAACGTTATCCGTTGCGTCTGATAAGAATGAAGCAAAAAGGCCTAAATATAAGAATTAACTAATCCAATTTAGACTTAAAAATGTTTATATGCAAATTAGGTAGTTATATTAATTAAAAATATGCAAATTAAAGACCAAATAATTTTATACTCGTTAACCGAGTTTTTGGCGAATTTTTAAAAGATGCCTTATCGATGCCTTATCACGCAGTTTCCTGTATGAATGTACTATATAATGTGTGCGCAAGAATCTTTGCGCTTGCCGAGAAGCTGAACGTAAGAAAAAAAAAAGTCCCAAGAGATAGTAATAAAAATAATTGAGACTGGTGATTGCGGGGAATTTAAAAATATAACACTGTAAAGAATCCCATGGGATTCCCCCAATACCAATGGACCAAACAAACCGTAAAGAGCACCCACTTGGCTTTGCTTGTTTGTACAAACGACTTTTCGTTTACACAAGTTCACGTAACGAGTACGACCGTTTAACATGTTCGACAAGTATCAACGGTAGCATCAAAGTCTATAGATAAATCTCGTTAAAATTAGAGGAGATGAAAAGATCTTCGTTAATCAATGTATCCTTAGTTAAACGTTACGTAGAAATGAATACTCACAGATTATCCCCCGTATGAAATTGAATTACAGTGTTACAATCTGAGGAGACTATTGATGGAATAAACGTAAATTATCCTTAATATGAGACTCGAGTAAAGCGAGTGGGTCGATTTCTCGAATAACAGAAGCAACAGGCAGGAATCTACCGGCGCAGCCCACCTGCCATAAGGTATAACTGTATAAGAAAGACCCACGCGAATATAACTATATATGTACAGTACACTATTAGGTATACCTAGAGTCTAGAGGCATATACATAGTTATACTCAGTGGTGCTAAGCGGTACAATGTACTTGAATGAGTTTATTATGTTATAAAAGGTATATCTGGAAGTCTCATGAGAAAAGAATTAACTGATAAAGGAATTATAGAGATAAGCTAGAATGATGAGAAGCAGAAGTCGCAGCAGTTCGTGACTTCTTGTTCCGTTACTTGAATCCGCCTTTAATTGTTCTTTGTGCGTGTCAATTCGACTTTACGCCGTTGGCTCAGTAACTTTAGACGTCTCGCTATAATCCTGTGTCTTCTCTTCTCTTTAACGAAACGTCTTTGTAGTCTCGCGCTATTCACGCTGACAAGATAACGTTGCTGCAATAAGTAGCGAGTGTACGAAGTACATGAGGATGATTCTGTTCTCACTTGAATTTAGACTGCAGTGTAATGGGATTTGCTGAGAGAGGAGAGAGCAAGAGAAAAGGAGAGACGTTAATGATATGACGACGGGATATCTAATTTTGTCATTCCTATATCTTCATTTTTGTGTTTGCTATTGAAACTGCATCGTGCAATAAATTATGACGGTTAAAAACATTTTGCAATTTATGGATACTATAATTCATATGGATATTTATGATGATTGGTAAGGGTATAACACAATTATGAGGAAAGAGATTGTTACTTTGTATGAATTGTATTGATTAGCGTAGTAGGCCTTTTTGTATGGAAAAAATGGCAGTTGTGATTTTAACGGCAGACCTGACATATTGCAATTTAATTATTTTTTTACAGAGGCTTTTTGGTTGGAAATATTTTAATCGTGATTGAGCATGCGAGACATGATGCTGTACATTAATAAAACCTCAAGTAGCCATGTAAACGAGTAAAAAAAATCATGAAGCAGGAACGCGTGAGTTTGATGGAAATTTCAGCAAAGTCGATATACAGTTAAAAGCATTATCGTCACATCAGTATAAATATATTACGATAGTCAGAGATAAATTGACGCAAGCGTGGCAAATAATCACGCCAGACAAATCAAAAGGAATACAAAATAATTCCTGGTGAAAAGAAATGACGATATTCATCTTAAATGATGCGTGGGAAAAGTCAGTCGTTGTCCATATAATAGAGGGAGACGAATACTCTCTGACGATAAATAGAATAAAATTCTGATATAGCTATTACAATATGATAATATTTATCTGAGGTTAATGAAAATTACGGAAAATTCAGAACGAAACACGTACCTTGTCGAGGCACTTGAGCTCTTCGATCGGGTAGACCGTTTTCTCGCAGCGAGCGCACGTCTTACTCATTTTTCTGGTCTTTTATCGTTATTGTCTCGTCCGTATCGCGCACTAGCAACACATTTATTCACTCGCGGCTCACGAAAACTGCGAAAATTTCACAATTTATCTCGGTGAGAGCACAAGCCACTCAATGAACACTAACACAAAAGCTCCACGGGCACCAGCCGCACCGCCTTCACGTCCTCTCCTAGTCACAAAAACTTACTGAGTGACAGAAATGGTTGCTCACTACGCTGGTCAATTGAAGGACATGCGCAGTAGCTTGATGCCACTGTTTAGAATATAAATTTCAAAGAATAATAATTCAGATATATGAAGAATATTCCTTAGATTTTTACACAAAGATTTTGTCTAATGATTGATGCATTGGTCTTAATAAAATAGTTGACAATTTGATGTGGTTTTGATACGAAAGTTATCACAGGGTCGGTATAGACATTGACTGAGGATAAATGGAATGGGCCATTGCGGTGAGTACATTGCAGTCGGTATTTGTCGTATCTGTTTTATTGAATTATTACCGTCGGTAATACAGAGATTCTGTATTGCTAATTGAGCAAATGTATCATACGTGAATACAGTCGACTCTTCCTAAGATCACGTTCGGTAAGAACATGCTTTCCCTTAGTTCCTTCAACTAAAAGGAATTTGTACTATAATCTTCACTGCACTTTTACTTCAATTCAGTTCTCCCTTGTTTCCTTTCCGTGCATACGTTTTTACGCTATACTGGTGTAACAATGTATGCACAATATCCACCATAATTGTAAAAATTTAAGGACATCGCTTCCAGAAGGATTGTTTACTAGGTAAGAGTGATTTTGGCTACGAACACTATTAATTGCAGTCGACTGTATACTGAAATTGCGTAACTGCATATTGTTTTCCCCTTATCTATGACCTTTTAGGAATTCATAAACGACTGAAAAATCTTTATCGAATTGTCCATTAGCAATCAAAGTTCTGTAGATTTGATGAGCCAGAGCTCCTAAAGGAATCGGTGCTTCCATTCTTGTGGCTGCTGCTTGTGCTAAGCCAAGATCTTTAGCCATGAGAGACGTGCCGAAACCTCCCTACGAACGAAGTATATGGATACTGAATTTGCAAGTACTTTTTTTATTACATATAGTACGTGTAAACCAGTTTACCTTGTAACCATTGGAACTTGGAACGTTGGGAAGAATGCCAGGAACTGGATTGTACAGTTCGGACGACCAGCATCTGCCCGAACTGGAATTTATGATATCTGCCAAGACTTGAGGGTCAAGACCCAATCTAAAAAAAGATATTGAAAAAGATTTATCCAACATATCGATATTTTAGTATCGCTTTATTTTTAAGCGGTTCTCGTATATTATATACAAAACGAGGAGTAACGAAACGTACTTTTTACCAAGATTAAATGTCTCAGCTGTGCCAATCATACTGATTCCCAGTAACATATTGTTACACAACTTTGCTGCTTGTCCCATACCTACATCACCACAATAAACTATTCTGGATCCCATCGCTTCCAAAATCGGTTTGGCTCGTTCAAAATTGGATTTTACTCCGCCCACCATAAACGTCAAAGTGCCTGCACTTGCGGCGTTGACGCCTAGAAATATTATTAATGGATTACTCTATTGTTTACTTATCGAATAATATCATATGGATAAATAATTAATGAAACGTATTTACCTCCGGATACAGGACTGTCCAAAAATAATGCCCCACTCTGTTCAGCCTGCTTTGCTACCGTTTGCGATACTGATGGATCTATGGTGCTACTGTCTATAAGAAGTGTATTTTTATTGACTGAACTGAAAAATAATCAACATAAAGAAACCTGGTGTGATATTAAAATTACCAAATAATAAATCAAATAAATCTAAAATTGTAATGTCAATCGAACGTTATTATTTCCAATTTTTACTCTCACCTTAAAATTCCATTTTCACCGGTATAACAATCTAATACGTGCTGATTGGACGGTAACATGGAAACTACGACTTCTGCGTCCACTGCAATTTTTCCTGAATTCTCAGCAGACTGTGCGCCGGCCTTCACTAAACTTTTGACGGCCACTTCGTTCACGTCGTATACAGTCAATTTGTAGCCCTGAGCAATGATACGGTTATATAATGCTATCATGGATTATATCGATATTGTATGTATGATGGAATTAAAAATTTTTCAGCGTCTGTCACCTTCTTTAAAAGATTTCGCGCCATGTGTCCTCCCATGTTCCCCAAGCCCACGAATCCGACATTGGAAAAGTTTTTTCTGCCTAAATCAAGCAGCAGTCACAATGATATACAAACAATTCACACGCACAAATCACAACTCCACGACTTTGCGTACTCACCAAAAATATTAGTGGACGCACAGGATCTCTTGAAAAACGTAATCACCCTCATTTTCTTTAAGAACAAGTAAACTCTCTTAACCGGTTCAGTGGTAATGACTCAAAAATATATGGGCGCAAAAAAGGTGTCGCTACTGGCAATGACTCGTATATGAGCACCAGGAATATCTCTGTGACTTTTTAACGGATTTTCATGAAACTTGATATTCCCATGGTTTTTGAATCGCTGATTTCGAATCTGTACTCGAAATTTTGATATTCAGTTTAGCGAATACAATATGGTAGTTTCTGGTGGCAAACCTTGTTATTTTATTGCGGATAGACATGAAGATCGATATGTGCATATTTCTTCGATCGCCGACTTCGAAACCAGAATCGAAATTTCAATGTCCAAAATGGGATATTCAACATGGCGGCTTCGAGTGACTAACGGTATTCCATTATGGTTACTGTTACTTTCGTAATCAACTGGTGCACCACGTGGAAGCTGCGATAGGAATTTACGCGCGATTTAAAAAAAAAGTTTTTTGTTCATAATTTTTTTTAACTCTTACGCTTTTGTCTCATTTTTAAATTTTTTATGCTTACCTTCCTCAAACATTGTTTTATGATTTTTATTCTGGAACAGTTTTCGAAGAATAGAAATTATTATAAGAATTTTATGATTACACGTGATGGTTCTTGAAACAAGGTATCACGCATAATGAGGCCCTGCGCACAATCCTCAGAAACAGTATTTACCTGTTTCCTTTCACTTTGTTTCTGGCACCGATTCGAAGCGGAAAAATATGAAAATAATTTTAAAAAATGCAAAGATTAAAAAAAGTAACAAAAAGAATGAAATAATTTTAAAAAATTTCATTATAAAATGGAATGTAAAATCCTACCGCAGCCTCCCATTCCGAATTTTGAAGTTTGTGACCGAAAAAAAACATGCATATACCAAGTCTGATACGTATCCACGAGCGAATACCAAAGTTAGCCACTAAAAGCTGCAATGTTGAATCCGTCAGTTTGAAATTTGAAAATTCGATCCTCGATTCGTCACCAGCGACCCAAAAACCCCTCATAGACAAGCTTTCGTGTAGAATAAGAAATTATTGAATCTCACCAATCTCGGCACAAAGCGTTGATTTCAGATCCACTAGTGAACTGGTTAACTATACACCGAGTTAACGCTTGACGAAAGCACAAAAAATAGCTGTTAGGTCTGTACAAATGTCATGATAATTAATACAGCTGTGGATTATGCTACAGGTTGTCACGTATCCATAAACAACAGCAGTTAGCAGTTTATATCAATGCAAAATATATGTATTACTATATAAAGCGTCAGCGAGTGTATAAAAGTCAATTGAGTTCATGAATAATCAACGTTGATTGTACCGCGTGTGAACTCTATACTATTTCATGTAGAACTGATATAGGAGCACATATATTATTCGAGTGAAGAAAATGTGCGAGAGAGAGAGAGAGAGAGGGAGGGAGAGAAAATAATACAAACGCACAGATAAAACTGACAAATAAGACACGTATGAGAGAGAGAGAGAAAGAGTAATACAAAAAAAGCAAATTAAACAGACAAAGACTATTTTATCATTCGCGCATTAAGATAAGCATTCTTGATCTAATGAAAATAGCTTTTTTTCTATCCAGTACGAACGAGTATAAGACACGAGTGTAAAGTTTGAAGCACCAATCACACGAGTCTTATACTCATTCGTAATAGCTCGATACAACTGTTTTTGCAATAAATGGTCAAAGAAAAGGCCGTTTGGTATTTTTTCACGAGAGATGGCGCTGCTTAAAAATATTTCTAATAGGTCTCCCCTTCCTTGAACATATTTTAGATGCCTATGACGTCGCTGTCATAAATTTTCCATGTAATTTTATAGCGATTTGTCAGAAAAAAATAATATTTTAATCTGCCCTCTGACGACGCCCTACGGCGGGGTATTATTTGAGCATTTGTTAAAAAAAAAAAAAAAAAATCTTTACGTAACTCGCAATAAGATGTCACGATTTCTTAAAATTTCTTGAGCTTCGTCGACCTAAACATTTTTTCGTCGGCTCAATGACCCTGATGCAAAATTAATGTATTTCGAAATTTTCATTATCTATGATTATTATTATGATGATAAATTCAAAATTTTTTTATCGTAAATTCATAATTTTCGTATACATCTTCGCGATACTATGGAAACACTCATCTTCATTTGCACATTTACTTCACTTTACCATGTACGTGTTTCCTTGCAATTTTTCATATTGGGGTCGTCGCGTAATAAAGATTAGCCTTTATCAATAGCAATCGGTACTTCGCTCGCGAAAGGACGCTTTGTCGATAGATGCGAATATTAACTGTTAATAAAAAATAATTATAATTTCATTCTATGTAGATTTTTTATACTGATCAATAGCCAATTATTATAATAAGTGTGATAATTATTGTCAGTAGTCATTAAAAATTTTTTATTTTTGTTCAAAGCTATTTTATACGTTGTAACTGTATTTGATGGCAAATTTTTAATTTTTTAATTCGTTCATTCAATTAACACGTCGCTATCGGTAGGACGTGCAAAAATATGAAAATGAACTATCGCATAGCATTAATCAGCTGGCTTGAAGAAAATGATATCATGAAAGGGAGAATGGCAAAAGATTAGCTGACACGATAACGGGTGGCTGACATTAGTTAAAATTGATATCCAAATGCGAGATCTTAATCGGAGTAAGTTTATTAAAATTATTGTTATCAAAGGATCTTGCGATAAGACAAAAAGTGTACACTGACGATTACGCGAATTAGTAAGTAAGAAGAAGCAAGTATGTTTTGCCGAATGTTTTATGTGGAATATATTTAAATTAATATACAGTACGTATGTGTGTACGTACATAAATACCAGATAAGTCCAAGTCGTACGATGTAAATATTAATAAATTATTTTGAGAAGCCATAACTGTGTAAAAAAATTTGAATTTTTCAAAAAGCCCAATTTCGATAATACCCACGAAAAAGAAAGGTGCGAAGCTATTACGAAAATATTGAATTATAGTGAAATGAAAATTTGAAAATTGTATAATTTTCGTTATCTCGAGGATAGTATATCAAACAAGATAAATAAATAACAAAATGACATTCAAGTTGAGAAAATTAATAATAATAAAAAATAACAATGGACTAGCTAAAAGAAAAGTTTTCAACTTGCAATGAACTCGACTACAGTTGGTTCATTGAATGTCTCTTTTTCTTTCTAACTTATCGATAAGTCCGATAAGTATGATTGTAACGAAAAATGTGGTTTCTAAAACAAAAAAAAGATTTTAGCTACATAAATGAGGTTTGACTTACTTTGCTGAAGCAGTGATGGCTATGGCAGCTATGAATGTTCGCGAATGCTGTCAATTACGGTGAAATATTATGAAAAATAAATAATTTTTCCAGGTGACGCCATTCTAACGAAACAGTAATTACGCCAGTCTTGCCGCGTTAATGAGTTTGAGAAGAGCATCGGATAATGTCGCATTCGTCCAATAAACTGTAACTTTCTTATCTTATGTCAAGTCTTGAATTAATGTTGACATTACTTAGCAGCCCTACCACGGTGGAATATATATATGCTATACTAGCTAATGTAATGTGTATATCTATATCGAATTATGCTTACACTGGGGTACATCGATTCTCTCAGTGGTAAAACGACTACACGTTTATTGGCAGCGTTACGAAACTCGTCGGTTTTCCAAGTTCAATTGAAAGTTCCATACGGCCTAAACGTTTTTTTAAGTTTAAAAATTTTAATATACTTTAATTACGCGTACGTCTGCATTAACTACTTGAAAACGAAGCAGGTGGATTTTTGAATCAGGATACAAATATTTTACAATTATAATATCAGTGTTGAAAAATTATTAAAATTGAATAAAAAATATTGTGAATTTTGGATTAATTGAGAATTTTTTTTTTCAGTATTCAATTAATACCACACTTTTTTGCTGATATATCTACAGTGTAGAAATTGTGATTTGAAAATTTTTTAATTATATAACAGTCCCAGCATGAAGTTCGAATGGATCTTGTTACTTGCTTTTGATATGGTGTCGACTGGAAAAAATGATATTAGTATTACTGATAACACAAAGCCATGGATTTCTGTGGAAAATTATAAAACTATATTGAAATTGTCTTTTCCTCTGTCAGTATGTTGTAACGTCTATTTAGGCGGTGAGTGTAATTTCGAAAATAAAATTTTGGTTTAAAACTTTTTTTTTTATAATCACACATATTTTTGTTTTAGATATGAGCAGAGGAGTGGATGCTATTTTTAAGCAATTCGTTCACAACTATCCTTATCAGTATCTTGTAAGAAAAAAAATAATTGACTGTCAAGGATACTTTCTCGTGTCTTCATCAACGGAATCTTTGATAAGACCATTGCAAAAGTAAAATATATTTTTTTTAAATAAAAATAAAAATCAAAAAATTCATTTATTCATAACGCAGAATCCCGTCGACCATCTCCACCTCGGAATTGTTAATCGTGGTCGATATCGAATTGGCCGAAATCGATTTGCTGTTCAACGTATCGATATACAAAAACGCCAACGTCAATTTGATCGCCCGCAACGGCATTTGGCATCTATCGGAAAATTATTTGGAGAAGAGACACTTTCTGAGAGTCGAGAAGTAAGTGGGACCAAAATAAAAATTATAAAAAAAGTTGAATTTTAAAAATTACACAATTTTCGATTTAAAAAAAATGAGTATATTAAACATTTCAAAAATATTTTCAGACACGAAGATTTGATCTACGGAAGAGGATTGGCTGATTTCAAAGGTAGAGAATTGCAAGTGGCAGCTTTCTATATGCCGCCTCTGTGTTATTTAAATCGTACGATAAACAAAACAGTCAATCAAATAGAAGGTGAATTTTACTTGGCTGATAACGGTGAGTCCGATATATGTATAATTTTCAATGATTCTCAACTTTGTGGAATTTCCGTGAAAGTGATACAAAGATCAAATACAAGAGTCACGGTGACTTTAAACTTATGATTAACGGCATGTGACGTTGCTAAACAAAAATAACGTCCGATGGTCATTAAAATCATCAAGTCACGCTTAATGTTCGTTTACGGTAAAAGGACGCGTAACATTGCGTGACAAAAATTATGTCCGATCGTAAATGAAGATAATTTTCATAGCGTGATTGGTGCGCTGACAATCAGAAATTGCCTAAAGCACTTACCCAATGATAAATCCAAAATTTCCTTCAATGCTGGGTCTTCCCAAAGGATACTCGAGATTATTGTAGACAATTTATTATATATATATATGGGTGTGTGTGTATATATATATATATATATCCATCGCGTTTAGTTTAGTACCTCGAAATTACATAGTTATTTATGTATGATTTGTATCAGTAGAAAAAAGGTCACACGGAAATATTACTGATTATCGCACGTATAAACAGTGTCAGGTCGAACAGAAATCTTTAATCTGAAAAAAAGATATCGACCTAGTGCATCTTTGACATTCGCCATATCTTTCGAAAAAAAAAAAAAAAAAAAAAAAAAAAAAAAAAAAAAAAAAAAAAAAATTAATATAGAATAACAATTAAGGAAAAAATTTCAATTTTTTTTGCAGAACACGAGAGAGACGGAGTGGAGATGAAAATGTTTATGCTGATGGCGGATCGACTGAATTTTACATGGACCATTAGAAAGCCAACACTTTCTTATAGGTATAATTTGAATTTTTTTTTCAAAATTTGTATATAAAAATTACATGCATAGGTACGGCCGGCAAATTAATGATACGGCATGGAACGGAGGGATGATAGGTCAGATGGTGAGAAAAGAGGTGAGTTATTGAAGAAAATGTTCTTTTAATTTTTGACATTTTCAACAACAAAAAATTGTTTAACCCGCACAGATCGATATGGCGTTTACTGGTATCTGGCTCAAGCAGGATCATTATCTGTTTACCAATTTGACTGAATCCTGGTACCAATTATTTATAACATTTTTGGTACCAAGACCAAGACGATTTTCCAGCTTTTGGGGAATCACTAGACCGTTTACACCTCTCGTTTGGACAATGATAGTTTTGTCGTTGCTGTTCATGACGATTTACATGTTAACAAGAGCTAACGTGAAGCCAAAAACACCAAAAAGTAAGTGCGGCACTTTGACAAAATTTTATTAATTTCCAAATATGAAATTTCAATGAATTTAAGGATTTCGCCACTTTGCTCTGACCGTGACTGAACTTATCGGTCGTCTCACCGGAGTTTGGGTACCAAGAAACACAACGGAAGTGCGTATACCAATGCACTTATGGCAACTTTCCAGTCTGCTATTGGTATCTGCATACAGTTGCAGTTTAGCTGCAAGATTAACAAGTTCAGAATACGAGGGCAGGTACGAGAATAAATTTTTGTTTAAATCCCAATGAATTTATAAAAAAAAAAAAAAAAAAACATTGCAGGATAGACAATCTCCAACAATTTATAGAAGCAAATCTAACCTGGGGCAGACAAGGCCCAGTTCCAATATTCAAAGAATATTTCGACCTGAGTGTCAGTAATCAACATACAAATGACAATTAATCAATATACATGTACACACATAAGTTCACTAAATACCACGTATCTCCTTATTCAGAACAGATACGCGGCCGAATTGCCCAAAAGATTCGAGCACGAAAATGACAGCGAATCGAGACACAAAAAAATTTTGAATGGTAATTACGCCGTGGTGGGCCGTATAGTAGGTGCCTTATTTTTTCCAGAAGATAACGTAACCAACGAGGACCTCAAGGTAATAAATCAAATACCTCGATAGCGTAATGGAAAAAAAAAAAAAAGTTGAATTAAATTTTTTTTCAAAATTACTCCACGCGCCCCAAGGGCTATCGAGTGATGAAGGAAACAGTTGGACAATTTTACGCCAGCTTTGCCGTTCAACCGTGGCTTTTGCATCCTATAAATACCGTGAGTCCCGAATGGCAGCCATTGTTCATAATTACTCTGCAAAGTGATAATAATAATAAAGTCGATTATTAAAACAGATAATGTTGAGGATCAAGGAAGGCGGACTGAATATCTTTCATCTTGAAGACGTCGTACGTCGCAGAGCTGGCCTGAGTCTACGCGAGGTGCTCGTGGAACGTGATAAGAACGACGGCGTCCCTAGGGTATTGTCTATAACGCCATTAGGTGCTGGATTCTCATTTTTACTCGTCGGTTTACTAGTGTCGTGCGTGACGTTTTATCTGGAGATTAGATCAGTACGAAATGGAAGATCGACTAGGGCGGTTTTGCATGACATAGAAAAAAAACGAATATCAGTTAACAACTGTCGTACTGTAAAAGTACGAGTAATTGGAATTAAAAGAGTTACATATAAAGACGCGTGATCGTACTGAATAACAGAAAAATTGGTAAAATAAATAAATATAAATACGTCGTCGTTAGGCTAAGAATTAAATTAACGTATGAAACTTTTTTTATGAGACAAAACGAATTCTATTGTTTAAACGTATTTGTAAAGCACAAAGTATTCCACGGATTTGAATTTGATCCATGGAAATTGACAGTTCATCATCGTAACTATCCAATGCTGACAGATTGACTGTGTGCAAATGATTTCAATACTACATATATATGTATGTATCAGCGCGTCTCAATTGGAAACTTGTAAAACCGGTACGAGCATCTTGAATCGCTATTAGGAAAAATCTTAAATGAAAACTATCTGACGTGAAGTAGATTGGTTATGGAGTATCTGTGAAATTCATTATTTAGGGATATTATTGCTAGTAATTCAAAATAACAATTCGAGCTGCTATCGTTGAATAGGTAATATTGAATACAACAAGAAATAAGCAGTAGAAATAATAATATTTCTGTACAACAAATTTTCTCTTTTTATTTCAATAGGATATCTAGTGTCCCTTATTTAACGAAATTAAAACTATAGCATGCCGTAAGGTCCTATAAATAATTTTCGATACTTCTTAATATGGAAATTCGAAAAGGTACTTCTTTATTATAATACAGTTGGTCGACGAATCGTGTTTACTGTACGTAGGGACTATGACGACTGACTTGAGACGTTCTGCTCGCAGAAATAGAAACAGGTTTTTTTATGCCGAGATATAATATTCATGAGAATAAGAATCGCTGGACTACGCGGAGTTGTCGTGCGGTAAGTCTTACCATTTCTATGCCTGAAGAAGATAAACCGCAGAAGAGGAAACATGTTATCAAAGTGGCATAAGGTATAACTATATACGTATAAAGTTATCTTGACACTGTGCGGATGTTCACTCGGTGTTCACCCTTCGCTCTCTCTACCTACTAGTAGATACAGCCGTGATACTAATGGATGAGGGTATAGCCAATAGGGATCGTATTTTTGTTTAGATTCCGCAGGATGCGATGACGTCACATTTAAAGCGACATCATTTTAACAGTTGAGGGACTTATTTACGTTTCGGTGCGTGTGAGTATGGCCCCTGAAAGAGAAATTGATGTCGCGACATGACTGGAGCTCGTGCGAAATGTCAGCCAATCAGAGCAGAGAGGGGCCTGTGACGTAACTGGGCAAGGTTGATGCGAAATTTGTGCAAGTTTACCACTGTACATTTCAATCTTGTCTCAGTGGCATGTCGACGCTTGAACCGATAGGATATGCCTCTAAACAGCTTGAGCGATTAAAAAGACGATATAAGAAATGAGCATGCGCTGACAGTTGCGAATATTGATAAAATTTTGTTTTCAAGTTCGTGAAAATTTTGGTATTGGTATAACTACGAGAAAGTGATAGACTGATTAGAAGGTACATTGAGCATATAATTTGTATAGTTATAATACCTGCAACACATAATTATTTATGAGAAAATTTTTTGTATTAATATTTAACAAGCGGGGGAATTCGAGAGTCGAGAATAACGTGATAAATAATTGATCGAAGATACTTGCCAATATATTTTGGAAATTTGTTTGGATCATTTTTTGTTGTCTATTCGTTATAACGAACGCTCGTTAAAAATGGTCGTTAAGAAGAAGGAACATATTGACGATGGTATGTAAATTAATTAATTTTGACTTTTAAAAATTATTTTATAATTATAATTCTTTTTTCTTTAATTATTAGTGCAACCAAAAACGGTTGATGATCATTTTGAGCTTATAATGAACGATAAGGAAGTCATTGACGAGGAACCGGCAGATTTGTCATCGGAAGATCTTCCAGAGTGGTACGAGGAGAGACTGTTTAAAATGTAAGTGATTGTGAAGAATGTGTAAATTATTTTTGAATTGCGGAAAATTCATTTTCAGCGGACAAGAATATTACAAGAACAACAAGTTGGCATTCGCAGTAGCAAGTTTGACTGGTGTAATGGCTGTTTTGTCTAATCCCGATATATTAAAGGTGAAATTTGAATTTGGAATGAAGATTTTTGAAAACTCATTGTAAAATAGTGAAATATATTTTTTAGATTTTAATTTATACTAAACAAAGCGGTACACAATGCACGGCCTTCAGACGCTATCTGGAAACTCTATTACATATGTATACTTGGTACACATGCGATGTAACTGATATTACATCAAGGTATATGTAAAAGAAATTTACGTAAAAATTTGAATTTATGTAAATATACAATTCTTAAATAAATTTTTAATTCGTACTTAAATGCTTCTAGGTGGTACAAGTCTTTGAACACGATTCGTTGGAAACATAGCTCAAACAGCAAAAGATCCAGAGTTGCAGGTTATGGTGCAATAACGCAAAGGGACATGGTATTGACCCAATTTGGCTTTTTCGGTTTTATCCTTGTGGAGCCGAAAAAATTGGGTATTTTAAGTAGCCCCGAGGAACTCGAGGGCATTAATCATTATTGGCGAGTGTTCGGTCACATGATTGGGATTTCGGACAGGTAAACAAAGAGGTACTGGCCCAACAAAAGGTATAAGATTGGGCCCTTACTTGGCAACGGTTGAGTAATGCTTGAGATTTGGGTCATTTTTATGCGTTTCTTGGGTAATTAATAAATCAATTGAATGGATAATTATTTATTGTCTATGTTGATATTGTTTAACAGGTTCAATTTGTGCCGTAAAAATGCGGCAGAAACAACAAAGCTCTGTTACAGAATACAGCGTGAAGTATATAGAAAGTATTTTGAAAATGTGTCAAAAGAATTTGAAAAAATGTGCGAAGTTTTAGTGAACGGTTTGTGGATAACTGATCTTTCATTGGATTACGATGCCCTCATGTATTTTACGTATTCGTTGGTGAATGTTCCCTGTAAGTAATTTTTAACGATATAAAGAAAAGATTTTATTGTAATAATATTAATCGTGAGAAATTAACGATTTTTGGCTTTTTCAGATAAAAAACCATTGGGTCTCTATAGTTGGCTAAACCACAAGTATCGAGTTACCGTGTTATACTTGTGCTGTGAGTAAAAAATTTTTTTTATAATATTCAATTACGTCAATATTTTTTTTATTCCACAGCTGTTCCGATCATTGGTTATCTTATGAGAACATATTTCAACTATTTCTTGACACTGAATTATTGGCTTATGGAAAACTTCCCTATACTGCCGATCATTCGATTTGGACGAAAGGAATCGCGAATTAATCTTTATCCGAAATATCATTGATTGAATGTATGTAAATAATATTCGTGATTGGCACGCTATAGAATTTTCTGAAATTTATAGCGCGTCTCATTTGGAAACTTGTAAAACCGTGACGAGCATCTTGAATCGCTACTAGGAAAAATCTTAAATGAAAATTATCGGACATGAAGTAGATTGGTAGATGGATTGGATAGATGGTTATGAAATATCTGTGAAATTCATTATTTATGGATATTATGAATAGTAATGCAAAATAGCAATTCGAGCTGCTATCGTTGAATAGGTAATATTGAATACAAAAAGAAATAAGCAGTAGAAATAATAATATTTCTGTACAATAAATTCTCTCTTTTTATTTCAATGGTATATGTTGTGTTCCTTATTTAACAAAATAAAAACTATAGGAAAAGTTTGGAAAAAATATTTTCTATGAATTATGTAAATATCACTGCAGAGTGTAAAAATATATGAAAAGTGTATGTAACTCAGAATCTGTGTATATATTATACAAAATTTATAATACGAATAAATATATCAAAATTACAAACTTGATCCTTCAACTCCAATAGAACTCCATCGCTTATCCTTTCAATACAAAAATAGTATTTTACCGTATCCATCAAATTTAAATTTCGATAAAGGCTTTCGTATTCATAAGATGGCGCTAGAAGCTTCAAGTTGACTTTTATACAATATGCAAATCAACGAATCCCAATGGTAACAATGACGGTCGGTAAAGTAGATACGGAGTTCTGATCACGGCTACTCACAAGGTGCTGCCCTCTACAAAACAACGTCGATAAAATAGTTTGTACATTCATTGGACCGTGTCAAACTAATTAGCGTGCATTATCATCATACATAAACAACAATTATCCCCTATCATGATTTACGTATATCACACACAAACAGACGAATCAACAATTAAAATAAACAATTTTCATGCACCCCATGCAATACATACAATTCCAAGCACGTACCTATCCCCGCCAAAACCATACGTATCCATAGTCATAAAATCACATAAAAACAAAAAGCCAACTTATTAATCACATCAATTAATTTTTGCATCTCTGTAAAGCGTCCTGGCAAAAGTAGCTTCAGTACAAAAATAATACAATACAAAGGTTTGAAAGTGTAGCAAACACGAGGATTTTTCGAGATATCCCAGTCAATTTCTTGTTTCCCGTGATACTTCATACAGTTATTAGAATTGAGGTTAAGACCAGCAGCACGATATGAACAAGGAGCACGGAGAGCACAGCAGGCGTTGTTCCTGGTTTGTCAGAAAATTTTTCCTCACCTTGCGTGATTCCACGGACATCTTCGATTCGAGCTGGTTAGAGGTTTGCGTGCAATGCGAAGCTTTACGGTGCACCTACGTATAACAGTAGATGAGTGGATACGTGAATGTGGATTGTCTGTGTTCATACGTGCTATATGTATACATATATAACAGGAGAACAGCAATGCTTTCCTCTCCGCGACGTCTCTGCGTTCCCCCAGTCATCCTGATCCACCCTGTTACCACTAGAATCCCAGCGAGGAGCGTCTCGATGCCATCGGTCCCCTCGCCACTAACATCCACTCTGCCATCAGCGTCACTACCCATACCAAACCGACAGGCTCGAGTAAAATTTCCCCTTCGAATCTCGCCCGGACTGTAGAAACGACGAGGAGCGTGGCGTCGCTCCTATATAACTTGGAGAAAACGAAGACGTTCACTGGGATCGACAATCCGGCTTGAGGCTGTTTGTCCTCTGTTACAAAGGGATCCCTTATCCAGGGTCCACCTACCTGGCAGCGTGGAGAGAGAAAGAGAGAAAATTCGCATATGGACACTCAGCTAGGTATACGAATTCAACGATTAATACCTTAGAAATATCATAGATGGACATAGGAGCGCGACGATTCTCAGTACGAGCGGTGACGTTTTTTCAAGAATAAGTACGAGACGGTACGAAGCATTGCTAAATGGTACAGTGTGACATTGGTTCTACAGAAAACTATTGAGATTTTAAAACAGTGAAGCTTCGCCAAGAAGGAAATAAATGAATTTGGACAATTCTTGTGAATTCTTGTGAATTGACGATTATAATTTGGAGGTGTAACATTGGTTCACGTGGAATCCATTTTATCTTTCTCTATCTCCGTCAGGACCTTTTTAGTAGCCCGTAACAGGGACCCCTGCACGCCGAACCTTTCTTTTCTCAAGTTCTTTCTTCCGTTGCGCGTCCAGTCTCGACCGTGGTTCAAGCTGCTGGAGACGATAGGCAGGGACTAATTTTGCTGGTTCGCTTGGAGTGCTGATATTTTAAAAGGCCGGACGTTGCCGTATACGTATGTACTTATGTTTGTACGTAGGTAGATGTTAAGGTGGATACGTACTGACGGAGCGCTGCGATAATTATGAGAAGCGGGCTGGGCTTGAGTACTGAGCCAGTACGGTATAGGACTGTATAGGTACCAGCAGCCATGTTAAGCTATACCGATTCTAGAGGCGAGGACAGGCGTACAGAGTATAGTATATAGTGATATATATGTATATATGGGCTATATAACACACCCTATGCGCTTCCGGCGTTTCTTGCTATTCCAAGAAAGCGACGGCTGCGCCTGCAGACGAAGCTGACTCCGCGGGCTTTGTTCGATATTCCTAATTACACGTTTCGGCACCCGGAATAGATCAGCAGGACGCCCTGAGCAGTAGACTGAGGCTTCCTACTTTTATCCCTGTATAGATTTAACCCTCTTCATCCTAGGTAGCCCTTCGTCTGGAGTATAAGCTTTTGAATAATTTCCCTCGAGGGAGAATCTTTTTCAAGAGTCACCGAAAATAGGCGTGCGAGGTCTTCTGTACATACCTATTGGTAGGAGCATCGAGTTGTCCCTTCTGCCTGCATACGATGCGATGAAGCGACTACGAGTCTTATCGTTAAGATTCAAAGAGTCCTTGAGAACACTCCCGTAATCTAGGGTCTACAGCCTTTAGAGGGCCTACATTGTATTACTCGTACTCATTTTCTTAAATTCAATCGTAAATAAGTATCCTTTGTAGCTCTCAGGTAAAAGCTCCATTGCGAAATTAGTAACGGTTCGTATGTTGTTTTTTTTTGTTATGATAAAGAAAAAAAAGCACGTGACATCACTGTACTAATTGATAATATTTAACTGTTGCGGAAGTTCCAGTTCTCAAGTACGTGATATCTAATATCTATGGTTGGTAACGCGTCCTTCTGACGACCTTGGGAAGCCATGAAAGATGTCATCTAGTCAGGATACACTGCTATGGCTCTTTCTTTATTTCACTCCAACATGTTTGCAGGATACGTCGTTGGATTTGCAATAGGAAATTGTAATAGTTTTCTTGTGCAAGGTCGTAGAAGAGAGATTGGTTAAAGACACCCGTTAGATTGGCGGCAGGGGCCAGGTGGTCTATCGGTGTAAATATCTATTATACATTCGAGAGAGGATAGAGGCGCCTGATAGTTCGCGAGGGCGCCACGGTCGACTCTTACGGCGCCACCGGTTCATTCCCCCATGAGTGCCCGCGACGCACGGACGTGAACGCGAAAATTGGGGAAGAGTTTCGCGGTTACGACGAGAATTCGCGAATCCATTAATAATTAATCGACGACGAGTGATCTATGTACACACAGTGTTCGGGTTTGGTGAATGTGCTGCGTTCTGTGTTCGCGAGGCTTCTCAATTCGTGCCTACTGGACGCCGCAACTTGTGAACGGGGGACTTTTTATTGTCCAGTGAGAATGAGGCAGGCCGAGAAAAAGGGATAAGTCTAGGGAGAGCTTGAGAAACTGGTCATTTTTTTTCTTCTTGCTTTCCTCCTGTCTCTATTATCCAATGAGATTATTCGCAAGGTAAGGAGAGATCCTCGTGACGTGTAATTATAATGAGAATAACCAAGAAAATATTTCGTGACACGGAATCGCATGGGATAATGATCAAGGCAGTTTTATATGTGAATATATTTTGATAATGAATTTCGTCAGGGCAGTTTTAACGCTTCGATGTGAAATTTATGATGTAGCTCGTTATGTAGCATAAAGGAGGGTGTCATGGAATGATAATGCAATGCCGAGTTGTAATATTAATTATTCACCACTGACTAGTCCCATTCATATGTATGACGCTAATGGTGGGACGCGCGATTCATAATTTGGTCTTGATAGTTTTACTTCATTTAGATAATTGTATTGTGAGCTTGTGGGTTATGAGCAGAGATACGTTTAAAAGTGTTTATAACGATGATGTATCCGAGGTAAGGAAACGATAGTAATCCCGGTGTAATATCGTGCGATTTCAATCGATAAGCCAATCAATTATTAGCGGAATGTGCACGTAATGGAGATAGCGAGAAATCTGTGCAATTATGTGATGTTTTATTGCAATTCTCTTACTGTGCGAAATCTCTACAATTTATGCGAATCCTTATGTTTTTATATATCTACATATATAATATAGACGTTATACACATCAAAACTCGGCCAGTGGTCGTCGTGTTGTAAACAGTATTAATTTACACGAGCAGCAGTGCTTGAATATTCATCACACGGATTCTGCGTAAAGTCACGTTACACTAGAAATATCATTTTTAAGGTGTAGATCATATTCACTTTTTTTTAACACTTTCTTCTGTCACCGCAGCTAAATGCCAATTAACATTAATGAAGACGAAGACTTGCGATGTGGACGAACGTAGCAGCGTTGACAGTTGTAGTTCCTGCTCTCTCGGGCTTTATATTAGTAGAAATTAAATGCATAATAAAAAGAGTAGTCCTGAATACAATTGTTATCGGATACCTTGAATCGAGCCTTGGCTAATATCACAACCAAATTTTATTGAACAAGTATCCCATATACGTTGTAAAATATTTTTCAAATAAATGGGACGCGGATAGCATTTTTGAAAGAGGTGAATTATATCTATGTATATGGAATCCGTTGTGAGCTTCTCAGTCGATCGATTTTTATTTGGTATTTCGTGTTTTTGATATGCACTGTCCTGGAACAAAACATCATACACGCGTCTGGTAGTCGGTAATGAGTCGCTGGGATGCGTTAACGCGTTTACGAGGGCAATTCTTTTGCTCTAGAACACTATAAGAAAAACGACCACGGACGCTCGACGTCTTGGCGTTACTTATTATCGCACAAGTAATCGTACGTTCGGTGCTCTTAATATTTTTTTTTACTAACACGCATAATTTCGTGAACGAGGCTAAACTAAAATGGGGTAACGGAGTGCACGTTGGATGAATAATTGATTAATCTTTATATCCTAGGAGATCGGACGGCGAATATAAACAAGCGATAAAAGTGCGAGTCTATTGAAAATCGTAAATAAGTAAAACATAACCTATGATCTTTATTACTCGTGATTAATGTGATCCAGTGTGAATTCTATAAGAACTCTATTGAAAGATTCGTATAATTTGAAACTGTTGTGAAGGTGAGAGAGTTGAAGAGAGAGAGGGAGACAGAAATACTGCTACCGGAAGTGGAAGAAAGGGGAAGGGACGAGTTCGATCGCCAAGTGAGACGAAATAAGAGAGGTCCTCTCTTCCGAAGAAAATTCATCGACCAGAGAAGAGAGTGACAGGGAGAGGCTCTGGCGCTGCGGAGGGAGCGAGAAGAAAGGAAGACGTACCGGTGCGTAAAGGGAGAAGAGAGAAGTGCTACGAGTAACAACCCGAGTTACCAAGGAGTTGAGCGGAGGGCCACTTCCGGTGAGGGCGCTGAGCATAAAGGTAAGAATAAAATATTCCATTCTTACACCTAAAGATAGGACAATCTCTCTTGGTCCGTTCATTATAGATTTAGAGATTTCGTTTCTCCGAGCCATTCCAAGTGCTTCCTGCGACGTCCTCCCATGTGAAATATCATCCCAGCGCATCGTTTCCGGAAGGTCGAAAAATCTTGAGGACGTGAAACCGTGACGGAAGGAAACAAAGGCAATGAGATCACAAATTGAACGCACGCGGTAAAGAAAATGATAACTTTGAATAAAAAAAAAAATTCAAAAAACCATCCAGTATATAATAGCCGCTTAATTGTCATTCAAGGAGTCTCTCATAATCTCCATTATAACTTGGAGCTTATTGAACATTGCACAGAAGATTTGTTTAAGGATGAAATTATTAATTATTCAAGTACATAGATTTAAATTTAATCTCTTCGATATTATATATATCCTTTCACTGCCCCCTCTGTTTATCGTTGTTGCACTAAAGGCAAAGTACAGTATCGATATACAAGGCAATAGTAACGGCAAAGGCAGTACACCGAACCGTTTTGGTTGTCCTTTAATTTCATTTTGTTTAAACTCTTCCTATTTTCCGCCGACGTCGGCTACCTGATTATTCCCTCTGACAACGACGCGACGAAGATCGTTAGCGAGTTTCGAATACACCAAAGCAATATTGAACACAGTGGCTCCTCGGCTCGTTATGATAATCGACATTGTCGTCGTCATAACACAATAGCACGTGTCTCTATACGCCGTTCAATTATTAAGAAGAAAAAGTCTCCGAGCATATTTTCAATGAAGTTTTTTGTAATCGTGTCATCGAGTTATTAAGCGACTTGATTATCAATAGGCAAACTGATTACCGGTTCTGCGAATTCAATAGAATCGTCTTACTCGTCTGTCGCTTAACTTTCATCGTATTCAAGAAACTTTTATCATTCGAAATCGTAATTCCTCCCTTCGCCTAGATTATTTTTCTTCGTCTCTCTCTCTCTCTCTATCTCTCTCTCTGCGGCCAAAATGCATATCCAGACAAGGCTCTCTGACCTACAGTTGGTTTCTCTGTCTTACAAACCGTCAATCCCCTGCTTATGCCGTATCGCCGCGTTTACGCTACTTTACTCGTTACCGACAAGGAATCTAGACTCCGCGAACTCGATCGTTCGGCCTATGTGCTGTTGTCTCCATTGTCTTTTCCTTATTATAACAGACTCACGGAAACACTACGTTATCATGCCCAGTACAGTACATTCGATTCCCAGCTATGTATCTGATAATTTATTGACACTTTGATAAGCCTCCGATTAGCGGTACCGATTTACATTCTTCTAGACCGGCGCTTATCAATTGCCCTACCTTCGATAAGATCGTTAGCAAAATTTCGGGAGAATATCACACGGTATACGTGTTTACT